CCCTAATAAAATGATTTAAAAAAATAAAATAAATAAAGGGGCAACAGTGGCAGAAGAGGAGTCCAAGAGGCCCTGAGGCCGTGATGGAGGAAGAACAACAAAGCTTCCTTCCCAAGGGGATTGGAGTAGCCAGACCCCAAGGCTGCTCTCAGTCTGTTCCTGCCAGGCCTGCGTTCTAGTTACCCTTTTATAGTGAACACTTACATCTTAGGTATGATTCTAAATAAACTATTTTACCTACACATGCCAAAACCGTTGTTAACATGAAACTGAAATTGCTCTATACAGTACTTTGTGTTTATATTCTATGTTGCACTAGGCTTAATAAAAATGCCATTTTACTCTGTTGTGGTTGTTACCTGCTGTCTAGTCTGTTCTGACTCATAGCAGCCCCGTACACAGCAGAATGAAGCACCGCTCGGCCCTGCACCATCCTCACAATGGCTCCGAAGCCTGGGCCCATGGATGCAGCCACTGTGTCCATTCGGCTTGTGTCCCTCTGCTTTACCAAACAGATGTCCTTCTCCTGAGTCTGGCCTCCCCTGACAACATATCCTAATTAGGTGAGAAGAAGTCTCACCACCTGTGGGAAACAGAGGACTAGGAAGGGAGTGTATACGGATGAATTCTTTATGCTCATATTTAACAAGACTGGGAGGCCAGTGCTCTGGGTGGAGGGAGAGCCTCACACTTGTGAGTTAGAGATGAGTCCCAGTCACATTCTCACAATTCAGGTTAATCTCCACAATATCCTCCCATAATAGTGCGACCTTAAAGTTACCTCTTACAGGTGCATGGCTGATAGCTATCTGGCCAGCAGCTTAATCTACAGAAGCAGACATCTTGCTATTGCTCTCCCTGTTCAGGGGACAGTCACTCCCCCTTACCTGCCCCCAGCACTGGTGTTAGGCTACTCCTCCAATGAACTCAGGGACCTCTAGGGTTAGGGTACAGCCCACTTTGCTGTGTATGTGGTTACCTGTCATTAAAGGGCTTGAATGCCCCAAGACTATATACGTTGATGTAGGAATACATTTTCTCTCTCCTGGACCTGATTCCTGATATTATGAAGAAGGTGAGCACCCTAAAACTCTTTGTTTCTTAATTTTTTCCCTTCAATTACACAACTGCCCCTCAGGACCCATCCAGATGTGGGCTGGATCCCAGAACCATCCTTGAGTAAAAGGAGCCTTCTGGCTGTATTTCTTCCAAGACAGGTTTATTCACCAGCACCATGATTCAAATGCCTCCGCCCTTCTCAGTCTTCCTTACTCAACACCCAATCACCAATGAAGCTACTGAAAAGACCAAGGCTTGGGTCAGGAACCGCTTAGTCCTCAAAGTAACGTCTTTGCTTTTGACACTCTAAAGAGTTCTTGTTCTGCTGATTCACCCAATGCAAAGCTTTGGTTGATCTCTCAAGTGCTGCTTCCATGAGCGTTGATTGTGGATCCCAGCAAGATGAAATCCTTGACGACTTCCATGTTTCCTCTGGTTACCACGATGTTACCTACTCATCCAGTTGTGAGGATTTGGGTCTTTACATTGAGTTGTAAACCATACTGAAGGCTGAAATCCTGGATCTTCATCAGTGAGTGTTTCAAGCCCTCCTCGCTTTCCGCAAAGTCTTGTTATTTTCCTATCAGAACTTGCTTCTCTTTCTTTCTTTCTTTGCTCTGCCTGTAGCAAGCTGAGCTGATCTGCCAAAATGGTTCGCTACTCACTTGACACAGAAAACCCCACAAAATCATGCAAAGCAAGAGGGTGGAATCGGTAACACAGAATCCTCTAGTCCATTGTAAGAACACTCGTGAAACTGCCCAGGCCATCAAGGGTATGCATATCTGGAAAGCCACCATGTATTTGAAATGGGTCACTTTACAGAAGCAGTCTGTGCCCTACCGACATCACGATGGTGGAGTGTGTAGGTGTGCCCAGGCCAAACAGTAGGTTTGGATCCAGGGTCAGTGACTCAAAAAGAGTACTGAATTTTTGCTGCACGTGCTTTAAAATGCAGAGAGAAATGCTGAACTTAATGGTTTAGATGTGGATTTTCTGATTTTTGAACACATCACGGTGAACAAAGTCCCCAAGATACGCTGCTGGACTTACAGAGATCCTGGTCGGATCAACCCAGACATGAGTTCCTGCTGCCACATTGAGATGATCCTTACTGAAAGGGCATAAATTGTTCCTAAACCAAGAGAGGAGGCTGCAAAGAAGAAAAGGATATCATGGAAAACAGTGAAAAGGCAAACTTTTATGATTCGGGAGTAAATTAAGCTGTTGGTGGTTTTGAACCGTTGACCATGCAGATCACACAGCCAGACACATAACCTCTACACCACTAGGGCTCCATTTAAGTATGAACCACTTTAGTAAGAAGTATAAGTTACACAGATGGCCCACAATTATATTTTTATTGAACAGTGCTGGCATATACTATGCAGTTAACTAAGTAGTAGCCATATTCAGGAGCCCAAGTGGTGCTGTGACAAAGATGTTAGGCTGCTAACTGCAAGGTCTGAGTTCAAAACCACCAGCTGCTCTGTGGGAGAAAGATGAGGCTGCCTCCTCTGGTCAAGATTTACAGTCTTGAAAATTAAGGAGCAGTTCACTCTGTCCCATAGGGTCGCTGGGAATGAGAATCAACTGAATAGCAGGGAGTTTTGGGAGCCTTCAAAGAGGGAGAGAGAGAGAGAGAGAGAGAGAGAGAGAGAGAGAGAGAGCACAGCAGAAGGGAATCTTAAGAATATAGTGGATTTAATCCACTATTTTCAAAACATTATTATTTCAAGACATAGTAAATATTATAAAGTTCTTAATGTGGGTTTTAAAAACATTATTTTTTACTGTCTTCACAGCCTGCCACAAATTTTAAACTTACAGAACATTTCAAGTGCTCAGTAGGGCTAGAGTCTA